TATTAAAAGGTCTTGTTTTATTTGACCTGAAACCTCACTTAATGTGAGCATCCTCTTCTACAACATATTTGTCAAAAAATTCAGCAACAGCAATTATTTAACATTGTAGCTACCTGAGGCAGTGATAACAGTTGTGGCAAAAAAGAAAAAAAAAAAAAAAAAAAAAAAAAAAGAAAGAAAAAAAAAAAAAAAAAAAAAGCAGCAGCTGAGAGGATGATAAATATATGGCAAATAAACACTTGAAAAGATGCCTAACATCATTTTATTAGGATATTCTGTATTAAAACAACAATAAAATGCCACTACTTATCATTTATTAGAATAGCTAAAATCCGATAAACTAACAATACCAAATATTAATGAGTTTGCAGAGCAACAGGAATGCTCATTGATTGCTGCTGGGAATGAAAAAAGATACAATTACTTTGGAAGACAGTTTGGAAGTTTCTTACATCTTACCATATGATCCAACAATAGCACTCCTAGGTATTTACCCAGTGAAATGAAGAGTTATGTCCACACTAGAACCTGCATGTGAATGTTTACATCAGCTTTATTTATAATAACAAAACACTGGAAGCAACCAAGATGAATAGATAAGTGAATGGGTACTATACAATAGAATATTATTCAGCAATGAAAAGAAATAAGCTATCAGCCATGAGAAGACACGGATATTTTTAAGTGAAAGAAACCAGTCTGAAATGGGTCTATGTTCATATAATTTCAGTTATACAACATTCTGGAAAAGACTAAAACATAAAGACACTTTTAAAAATCATGGTTTCCAGGGATTTGGAGATGGGTTGGTAAGGGATTAATAGATTAAACACAGAGTAATTTTAGGATGGGAAAACTATTCTGTATAATACTGTAAATGATGGATACATGACATTATGCATTTGTCAAATCCCACGTGACTTTACAGTACAAAGAAAGAAACTTAATGTATATAAATTTTTAAAAATCATTTAGGAGGTTGGGGGAATTCCAGGAAAAAATACAGACTGTGAATAGAGAATTTAACTGTATTACAAATGCATGACATAACCTCACTGAAGTGAGCATGCAAAAAGTTCTCACCTAAGTAACTTCAGAGTCTACACAACTGAAGGTAAAAGGAACTGCACATAATCACTATAGTCAATTAATTACAATAAAAATGAAAGAAAAAATGAAAGAAAGAAAGAAAGAAAGAAAGAAAGAAAGAAAGAAAGAAAGAAAGAAAGAAA